AAATCAGAAGATACCCAGAATGCAACACAACAATCAATTTGAAGTCACAACAAGAATAAAACAGATGCAAGAATGCAAAATGTCAAAATGACTAAAAATCATCCAAAAAAATAATAACAAAAGAAAAAAAAAGCTCTAAAAATAGTGATAGAGACGTGACATCACATTAAAGCCAGTCTATAAAAATGCGGTTTGAGAAGTGATTTAAAAGAAGTGAGTCTTATCTCCTCAGGCGACTCGCTCCAAACCTGAAGGGCCCCCGATTGCAAAATCACGGTCACCTTTAGACTTAAGCTCCGGCTTTTGGAACAACCAGAAAGGCGCCTCGAGGATCTAATGCTGCGAGCTGGCTCATGTGATGTCAATATTTCTGCTCCGTTAGCTCGGGGGGACCCAGACCCTGATGAGCTTGAGGTCAGTTTGAAAATGAAGAGGGAGAGAATTCAGGATTACGGTGATGTGATGTTGTCTGTTTAAAACCAGCAAGAAGTCGAGCTGCCTCATTCTTTGGTTTGTACCAGAAAGGAAGGGTGTTGCAGTGGAGAGTGGGGAAGATAAGTGTGCGACTGACTTTGCAGGTCAAAGAGTGTTGGATTAACTGTGGAGTCGTCACTTTACTCAGTCCACCTGTGAACGCTATCTCTCATGCATGTTAATGGCAGGGACATAATATTAGCTTTCAAAGTAGAATCATCACTTTTTTGTTTTTAAAAACCTTCAACAATGCGTGCCTCATAAAGCGAGTGCTGCTGCATTGTGTTGAGCCAGTTTCCGTTGAGCCTGCGCTTTTTCTTTTCTTTTAGGAATACCTTTGTTGCTGCAAAGTTACTGACTTCCTCATTGAGATAAATGAGGAGGCAGTGGTTTTTTAAAACACTGGAGGACACTGCATTGTGTTGAAGTTCTTTTGCTCTCGCCGCGGCCCAAAGTGACGCGAGTTTGTTCTGTGCAGTGCGTTGGACCAAATCACTTTATACTTTGATGTGTATTTTTTTATTTATTTATTTTACAGTTTGCTTTCTGTGGAGAGTCATTAAGCCTCATCATCACCAAAAAAACCCCCCCAAAAAACCCCACACAGCATTTTAACAGCAGACAGAGGACAAATCATCAGAGCACATAATGCGCTGTTCAATCAAGGACGTCTTTGCTGTCTTTGTTAAAACTAATGATTGACCTTGATTTGCAAGCAAAGTCAAATCTTTCTCTCTCTCTCTCTCTCTCTACAGGCATCTCAATCAAATGTACTGCAATTTAAATTCCTCATCCACAAGGTCAAGATAATGTCTTACTTAAAAGGTTAATGCGAGTATCAATCATGCAAGGAGATTTCATTGCACCAAAAGCACAATTTCAATCTTTTCTCTCTCTCTCTTCCTCTTCATATGTCTTTTATAATACAAGTTGAAAGTGTTTTGTAATGTTACATGTTAAATAAAAACACACACAAACAAAATAAGGGCTTTACATAAAGAAAAGACGTATTTTAGGAGATTAAAAACGACAACTGATGAGTTTAAAGCCAGAGAAATGTTGCTCAACATCAAGCATCACAAATGTAAGGAAGGAGAACATTTCTGCAAGAACTCAAAATATTTAAATTTCACATCAATAAAAACATGGTTATACTTTGCAGTCCAGTTTCAAACCTCAGGAGGAATCGGTATTTTCCTTTCCTCTGTACGTTCAGCAGCTCAGCATCCTCACTCTAGGGAGTAAAAAAAAAACAGACAATGGAAATCACATGATGTGTTTTAATGCAATGTTGTTTTCATTCATTCAGAAAAAAAAAAGTTCTTTGTGGAAAGTTATTCAGAAAATTCTTATATCTGTCATATCTGTCCAGTAAATATACATATACAGGAACTCCTTAAGTAATTATCAATTTACAACTTGTTTGTTTAAGGTGTAAAAAATACCATGTTGTGGTTATTTCAAAGCTTTCTGGACCAGATTTAGTTGCTACAGGCACATTTGTTTTCCTAAGACTGGACACAGTGACCATGATGTTACCCTTTGGTCTGTGGACTACTGTCTCGAAGCCTCGAGTTTAGAATCAGGATCCGGATGCAACAAGCGACGTAACAAGAACCAATGACAGTATGATACGGTAGCAACCTGGTAATCACAAGTTAGCCACGCTTGAAAACTACCCCATTGGGACCACAACATGACCACCTTTAACTACTGCTGTTGTTAAAAAGTCTTGAAACTAGCGACTGAGTCCATGAACTCATTGGGAAAATGTTTCCTGAAGTAGCAAATCAAGTAAGAAGTACTCTCATTTTCTTAGAAACTTCCTTTACAACGGGACTCCTTTTTGCACCCAGAGAAGTCGCCCCCTGTGGATCATTAAAAAGAATGCAGGTCAAAGGCACGTCTTTGTTGGCTTCACTTTTCAGACCCAGAGGCTGAATCTAACCTTTGCATGCAGTTTATGGTTTTAGCAGCAAACAGCAGAAGGTTGAACCTGCAGATTCTAGAGGAAGCAACAATTTGGATCTAAGTCGTTTTAAAGCACAAAGAAACCTTTTCAGGGATTTAATCACCTACTGGAGAGGGACTCGACGCTAAAACGAACCGATGGCGTTTCTCTTCGGGGTGACTTTTGCTTCTCTTTTTCCAGCCGTCCAAAGATAAACTAACAGACTGCTTAGGATTTACAGGTCTGCTGGCCAAGAACTTGTTGGATAAAAGTAATAACCGGTGAGATATAATGTGTAAGTTTGGGTGCTTCTAGGTTACCCTTGATGGGAGCCAGGCTTTCCATCTTTATGCTCAACAATGCTAACCGGCTGCCATCTGTCGTCTTAAATTAAACCAACAGACGCAAGAGTGGCATTAATCTCCTCATCTCTCTCTTGACAAAAAAGTGAAAAAGCCAGTGTCCCAAAATGTCAAACAGGAGCTTTAACCCTTTAAGCCCTGAGCTATTTTTCTCGAAAATT